TTTAAAATTTGTTTTTCTGCCATAATCCATGTGTACCATTAGTTGGACAAACTGTTATCTTTTATACTTGAATACAAGAATTGATACATATAAATATAATATACCTGAATACGCTTGCGTCGGCTAGCAATTGCACTTACCCGAATATCTCATCATATATCTCTACTCCTAATGGTGGAGTTGGTAGCCTGGTACTCCGGTTTTATTTTCGTCATCACCTCATTGATACGTCTCCAATGTATCTATAATTTTTTATTGTTCCATGCTGTTATATTATCAATCTTAAATGTTTTATAATTATTTTATAGTCATTTTATATCATTTTTTGTACTAACATATTGACATAGTGCCAAGTGTCAGTTGCTATTTTTTCCATGTTTTTTAATCGCAAAAAATCAATATCAGACGTAGTCCAAATGCTCCGAAATTTTACGGAGAATTTTTATGGGCCAGAAGGAACACAACGGGCCCTGGTTGCGCCTGGGGGGTGCCCCGAGGGGGGCACAACCCACCAAGGCGCGTCAGAAGCCTGACGCGTCCTGGTGGGTTGTGCCCACTGATACGTCTCCAACGTATCTATAATTTTTTATTGCTCCATGCTACTTTATCTACTGTTTTGGACTATATTGGGCTTTATTTTCCACTTTTATATTATTTTTGGGACTAACCTATTAACCGGAGGCCCAGCCCAGAATTGCTGTTTTTTTGCCTATTTTAGTATTTCGAGGAAACAGAATATCAAACGGAGTCCAAACGGAATGAAACCTTCGGGAACGTGATCTTCTCACCGAACGTGATTCAGGAGACTTGGACCCTACTCCAAGAAGTTTCCGGGGAGGTCACGAGGGTGGAGGGCGCCCCCCTGGGCGCGCCCCCTGCCTCGTGGGCCCCTCGGAGCTCCACCGACGTACTCCTTTCACCCATATATACCGTCCTACCCTAAAACTTCCAGAACAGAAGATAGATCGGGAGTTCCGCCGCCAGAAGCCTCCGTAGCCACCAAAAACCAATCTAGACCCGTTCCGGCACCCTGCCGGAGGGGGCAATCCTTCTCCGGTGGCCATCTTCATCATCCCGGTGCTCTCCATGACGAGGAGGGAGTAGCTCTCCCTCGGGGCTGAGGGTATGTACCAGTAGCTATGTGTTTGATCTCTCTCTCTCTATCTCTCGTGTTCTTGAGATGATACGATCTTGATGTATCGCGAGCTTTGCTATTATAGTTGGATCTTATGTTTCTCCTCCCCCTCTTCTCTCTTGTAATAAATTGAGTTTCCCCTTTGGAGTTATCTCATCGGATTGAGTCTTTAAAG